TCATAATCTAAACCCAACAAATCACAAAAAATTAAGCTATATATGTTCGCTACAATAATTTTATACCAAATTAGGACTGATAGTCTTTTTGGTCCGGCCCTAAGACATAGCGCAAGACCGGGTTTTAGTCGAATTAACAGCCCTAATCTAAATTTATTATGTCTGATCAAGTTTCGCAAAAATCGCAGAATCAGATTAACTTAAAATTCAGACCACTTAATATCTAGATACTTTCTCGTTCCTGGTTTTGCGCGATGACGTCGCGCAGCTACCTTATTTACAAAGCTGGTACTATGACATTACTTGAAAGTTTGATTTACTGAAAAATGACGTAAATTACATTGCAACTTTGTCACGGCAAATTCTTGATTTTAATTGGCTAATGACGACGATCTAAAATTTTTGCCAGAATTACTCATTTTACTTATGAAATTACAGCCGCTCATTACAGAAATTCTGGGACAATGAAAATTTCCTGATGACTGAATTCGATAGGCTTCTGAGTTCGGCCGCCTCTATTCTAGAATTGTCATCAGAAATTTTTTAGTTGCCCAGAATTTATTATAACAGCTGTAAGTGAAAATTATTTCTGGGTCAGTTTTACCATACTGTAAAATCTTTACTCAAGTATAGGGATGGGTTCGGTCAGCTAAGGTCTGTTATCGGTCCATATAAAAAAAAAATTTTATTATTTTTACACCTTAACATACGTTATTTAATTTATTTCAAATTTAACATACTAATTAATCGGTTTTTATAATATTCAAATATACAGGCTGAATTAAACTGATATAATATAAATGATATAAAATTATGCGATTTAGTGCGATTTGGTTTAATCACACTAAATCACATAATTACCGTGTCCCTGGTAGAGGAGAGGTGTAGTACTTATTCTCTGAATTCAGACCAAAATGTTATTACATCATATATAAAATTGGTCCGGGTTAAAAAATAATTATCCATATTTATTAATTAATTTCATATACTTTGCAGCTCTTAGCGGGTATTGAAAAAATTTGGAAGGACTTTCAACTCGAAAAATTGCAAAACACTTAGGTGTTAACAGATCTTCTATAAGTCAGGTTCTTGTGCATTTTCAAAGATATGGTTGTATTGAAAAACTTCTATCGCTTTCAGGAAACCCACGTTCTTTAAACATGAATAATATAAATTATCTTCAAGTTTTAATGAAAGAAAAACTTTGGTTGGGACGTAACATTAGTTTTACAACAATTCGGACCAACTTGGATATATGCACAAAAAGATAATATTTCATATATTAATGTATAATTTTATTTTATAAACTTTTAACAATTTTATAAAGGCTCTTTCTTATTAATAGCTCCTGATTAAGGCTCTTTCATATTAATAATATCCAATTCAGGATCTTTTTCACTATTAATTTCTGAATCAGTTGCATTCACTTCAGACAAGTCAGGTAACTCAAAAGTATTTGTTATAGACGATAAAGATTCTTTAATTGTTAGATCTACTGTTTTGCTTTGATTGCATTGATCATAATTTTTACTGCATTTTCGACAAATATTAATTAAATCTTGATCTCTTGGAATTTCGACTTTAGTTGAATTTTTAGTCCAATCGACGAATACTTAATTGTATTAACTTTTTTAATATTAGCACCTATTCATGTGATATATTTACTATAAAAGCTAATTTGATATCCGGAGCCTTCTTATATTTCTTGTCAAGTTTTATTGGTTGACAAGAACAATCTTTTCCATAAACTTTCACACAAGTTAAACATGCTAAACATATTGGGCAAGCGTTCAAACGAAATTTTAATAATGTTGACATTATAATAAAATTATTTGTACGTAGAACAGGTATTATATTTATTATGGTAATTTTTGAAATTGGACCAAAAATGTAATTAGACGTAGATATATCAAAATTACAGTAAATAAAAATTGAACGAGTTCAAAAATATATTTAATTTATGATGTAGATATTATATCAATATTACAATAAATTAAAATTGAACGAATTCAAAAATATTTTTTATATACCGATCATGATCATGCCGAAAAAATTACCGGCCGAAATTTTTCTTCGGCTAATTTTTTATAAGTGTCCCAGGAATAATGAAAACAGCTGTAAATACGGATAAACGGATGATGGATTTATTCGGATTGGAACTCTAGTTAGATTAATTTAAAAGGTTTTATTATAGCGGGTGTTTTAAATATATATATTTTCTCTAAGTGACTTTATATAGCGATTTCGATTTCTATATAGAGTTTCTTTTGGAATACCCGGTCCATCCCGCGCGGGATATATTATAATTCGGCCAGTGTCATAAATCTGGCCGGGGTTTCGAAATATTCCGGGTCGAGGTAAATTTTTGACCCCATTTTCGTAAATTCCGAAATATAAAAAAAAACCTATCCTACGCAGGATTTTTAGAAAAACAGCCGATTGCCCATCACTACTGTGAACGTTCTTCTCCAGCATCAGTTAAGTGGATGACAACACGATATTCTGGGTTATTTAGATTACTTTATTCTTTTTTTTCATACTGAGTAGACGGTTTACCTCGGTTAGTCGATTAGTTGGTGTTAAAGAAATTCAATCAAAACTAGAATTATTAATTTTCAGATTATAACTTTATGTAAATAAAGATTTTTTTGAAATAAAATAATAAAATAGTTATATAAAATAAACGGAAGTATATTGTAAAGTATTATAATTTTTATGAGTAAATTTTCTAAAATATTCGATTGCATAACATTTATTTCGACCAAATATTAAATACTCCAAATTTTATTTTATGTACTGTATTTCTTATATTATACAAATTTAATAAATCAAAGTTTAAATTTTCTTTCAATAACTATTCAAACGTATTTAAGTTCGACTTGTAAAATACAACTAATTATATAACATATATGCAATAGAAGAATTAGGGTTAACGAAGTGCACCGGAATGGTGTGTCTTTCAACACCATACTACACCACAGTACACATTTACAGAGACCCCATAGCACTATTAAGTTGAATACAACTCGGAGCATTAAATCAGATATATTTCTGTAAATTAGAAACTTTTGGCCGAAGTTTGGCTATTGACTATTGGCCACAAAAATTGCCAAGACTGGACTAATGTATAGCAAAGAAAAATTTGAAATCTTGTTAGATTCTTTTGGAAACATACTGTATATCACTTTAAATTTTCCGTGGGCGCAAAGGGTTACGTAACACAAGGTCATACAACATTTATTTAATTGGGGCCACTATCATCAATTCGGCTTGATTTAATAGCGATAAACCACTATCGTTATAAGAACTATTTAAAACAAGTGAATAACTTTGACATGAATTTTCATTTTTGTCAAATATAAATACAATGTCTAAATCTCCATTGTTCTCACTTTCAAATTTACCATCATCTTTTTTAAACTTCCTTAAATTAAGCGAAATAGACCCTGCAGTATATACAATTCAAAATTTGCCAAGATATATTCGAATAAATTCATATCAATATAATGATGAAAATTCACAATTACAAATTTGTAAAGAATTAGAAGAACAAATTGGAACCAAAATATGGCCTGTAAAAGGAATCGATGGGTTTTTTGGATTAGATGGGAATTGTAGGATTGTTGATTGTAAAGCGTACGTACAAATCATATGTTGTTATTGTAAACATTAATTAAATTAAATATTTTGATCACAATAGATATAAAGAAGGAAAAATATTTGGTATAGATCTAAGTTCAGGGATCGCTGTTTACGCACTTGATATTCGTCCAAATGATCATATTCTAGATTTATGTTGTGCTCCAGGTTAGAAATAAATTAATGTTTTAATTTTAAACACTTATTAATAATATTTGTATTTTCATATGGTGCATACCGATACAATAGGTGCAAAGTTATGCATGATATCTGATATCTTGGGCACAAAGGGGAGTGGTACAATCACGGGTGTAGATATTTCACGTGATCGTGCATCAACGTGTCGAAGTTTATTAAAAAAATACAAAATAAGTCGAGCTAGATTGTTTGTCGCAGATGGTACAACTTTTAATGTAACCGCGCCAACCTTCTTTGAACATATTATGCAAATGATTAGTAAAGAAGGGCAACGGAAGTTAGGAGAGTACTATACATCAACATCAGAAGAAATGGCAAAAGTAAGGAATCAAGAAAAACTTGATAATGAACAAAATGATAAAAGTCAATTAGTTAAACCATTTTGGGCACCAAAAATACTGAGAAATGATCCACAAATAAGTACATTAAGTCAATTGTATGATAAGGTCTGTTTATTTCGTCATACATAAGGGATAGGGGTATTGGGATATCTCGTGATCCTGTGATCAGAATCAAATAACGACCGAATCATGAGATATTTGTGTTTAAGCTATTTAAGTATATAGAATAATATATAAAATGCTATAATAGAAAGGTATTGTGACGAACGATGATATCTCGTAACCCGAGATCAGAATCCAATGATTTTTATACCATTAGATCCTTTTCATTGAGGAATCGAATCGAATGGTATAAAAATCGGTGGATTCTGATCTCGGGGTCACGAGATATTAACGATTCTCCACAATACCTTCCAATGCAAAAAATCTCGATATTTTTTATAAAACTTTAAACTCAAGTATCTTTGGGTCTAGTGATCAGAACCTGGTTCAGCTCAGTGAGACGAATCAGATGATATCAAAATCATTCGATTTTGATCAATATATCACGTGATATGATCGAAAATTGTCCATAATACCCCTACTTCCCTTACGATTCAAGTTAATATGCATTTAATTGAAGAGTTTTTATCATAGGTAATTGTAGATGCAGAATGTACTCATGATGGATCCATCGTGCATATTCTTAAAGTAAGTTTCACGAGCAATTCAGATGAATATTGTAGTCATATTTTATAACTAATTAATTACAACTTGTAGTACAATAAATACGGATGGGATAAATTTGAGAAGAGTTTTCTAAATTCTGATCGAATAAATAATCTCTGGGATCTTCAAGTTAGTTTATTGTTATTAGTTTATTATTATTATTATTTTATTATTATTATTATTATTATTATTTTATTAATATTATTATTCTTTGCTAAAATCATCTCAACTTTCACATCACCCAATATATTAGCGAAATCTTTTAAAAAATGGATGGACATTGTTAAAGCCTGGTGGAATTCTTGTATATAGCACATGCAGTCTTTCCCATAAACAAAATGAAGATGTTATCGGATGGTTTCTTTCTCATTATCCTAATTCCAAGTTAGAACCGATCCCAAACATAAATAACATGACGGTAGCACCTTTAAAAAAGAGTAGATACATTGATATTGACATATCAAATGCTGTTAGATTTGATCCGATTTATTCTAACACTTCAGGTTTCTTTGTAGCTAGAATTAGAAAAAAATTACCGCATGATAATTAACATAATTTAAACTTGTGAATATAGAGATAATAAATAGGTCAATGTATCTTCTCGTTAATTTAATAAATGAAGTAATAATACCGGTATAATTCATGAATTCAGTGAATTGATTTGATTTTTAGTCAGCCAATAGTTAAATGGCACTTGATAAAAAGCTTGTTATCTATTTCGGATCTTTGCCCAGAATTCAATTTATTTAAAGTAGCACATGTGAACATCCGAGCATTAGTAACATTCAAATGTCTTGGCAATTTCATCAAGTAAATTGGTATATCGTAAATTCTCGAAATATCGGGCATCTGCGCGCTATTTTTACTACGTGCGCGTTATTTCGAATATGCCCATGGGCGTTATTTCGAGATAAAGTATTAATTTTGGTTACTAATGTTATAAACAGGTCGAATGAATAAGTATCAGATAAATATCGATAAAAGACTTCTGATATGCTACCGATAGGGTTGTTAATGGAGTGCTCCAGACTATAATAAAACATATAACCCACTCCGGAGCACTCCAGAAATGGGTTATATGTTTTATTATAGCCTGGAGTACTCCATTAACAATCCTAGCTACCGACATGCTAAAATCAGGTGTATATCGGGGAGTATTGTATTCCGATATTTACCCGATACTTTCCTTCGAGGAGCGCGCTATTTCGGGACGCGCATGGGCGTTATTTCGAAACCACCCATGCTGTTTTTAGGAGCGCGATTTTCGAAATAACGCTATTTCGAGAATTTACGGTAATGGGGGCAGTGACTTTTACTACCTGATATCCACCCACGATGATATTTTGATATCTTTGACCAATAATTTAAACAAGTTTTGCCTTACCTCCTAAAAATACTGCATTACCTAATAAATATCGCTACCCTTATCCAAAACTTACTAGAGATGGATCAGTTCTAGAAAGATTGAATAAGGATCTATCCCCAAAATGGTATACCCACCATGAATTAGACCGGTTGCGAATAACGGAATCTCTATTAATTAAATCAAATAACTAACTACCTATAAATCTTTTCATGTACTAGCTACTCAAAGGTTTATAAATTGGTGGAATGAAATAGACGTTAATAGGCCAGTCTTATTAGAGATAAGGATTGGAACCGTTTAATTGTTTAACCAAATTAATTGTTTAATTCAGCTGGCATTAATGGTCCGATCCTTAATTAGAGACTAAGACAGACTGGTTTATCCTAATAATTACTCGTCTTAATGGCCTAAATGCGATAAGATTTTTATGCAGTTTCATTCCTAAATTACCAGTTGGGTATGTATTAAATAATTCCCTTTATAGTTAACGTAACAGCTCTTTAGGTCAGAATTAGTGATGATTGTATTAGAATTTTTTCTGTTAGAACATAAAAGACAGTTTATCGACAGATATTACGTAATATCTGTTACTACCCTTAATATAATGACTTGCTATGTGCTTATATGCAGGTATCGAAAAAAGCTCATGCAGATAATAAAGATTAGTTAGCTTAGATTTCATAATTCTATGAAATATTAAATTAAGCTATGTCTGCTTGCATACGCATAAATACTGGATGTAAACTTAACACATTCTATTATTTATATAACCTGGTAATAATACAGTGTATAATTTACAGCACTAACTTTATGATGTACCTGATACGCTGCCGTTCACAGTATTACTAGTAGTTTTGATAGAAATTATAGCTGGTTTCTAAAATATGATAATATGTTTTACACCCCATACCATACTATATATTCTATTTTTTCACAGTATCCAGATCCAGTATATAGTACTGTAGTATGGTACTGACAAGCTGAAACAAGCCAAAAATGTCATGTCATGCATCAGTAACTAAATTCGTATGACACTGCATAATAATAGGTAATGAAATAATAATAAAAATAAATATGCAAATAAATAACGATAGATAAATAAATAAATAAATAAATAATAAAGATTAAATAATAAATAAATAGGTCGTTAGAGATAAAATTTTATTTTTAATTTGAATTCTGAATCATGCCAATATTAAAAATTTCAAGTCTCTTTAGAGCTTCTATCATTTTAATTTGCTATTATATTATAACCTTTAGATTATTAGAAGATTTAACACTTATAAATCGAATATTATCATCACAAAAAATACAAACATCATATAATGACGAGAAATTTTTAACATATCTTCCACATAGTGGATTTAATAATCAACTTATCTCTTTAAAAAATGCCATAATATTATCATATGTTACAAACAGAACGTTAATAATGCCATCAGTAATAATTGACAAGGAAATTACTCATAGCGGGTTTGACAAACTTTATTCTAAACTTGAAAGATCAATTATTATGAAGAAGGCTAGATTATCATCATGTTCTCACCGAACAAATGAAACAACCAATATTAAAGATTTTTGTCATAAATCTAATAATCACCATGAAAAATTTTCAATGATGTATTGGGATGATTTATTGGATTTTACAACTCTAAAAAAACGTATTCGAATAATTAATCGTGGTCATGAATTTAATCATGAATCCTTAAAAAAATCATTTGAAAGCATTTTTTATATTAAGGAAAATAGCCGTTATGGATATCAATATTTTGATATGGATAATATGAAACGATCATTAGGAAGGCAATATAATAAGAAGTTCTTTATTTCTAAATTTAAATCAAGACCAGAAAAATTAATACATTTTGGATCTTTGCACGGATCTCGAAGGGTAAATTTAGATGATAAGAAAAATAAAGAATTTTTGAATGAAGTAAAGGAGAGTTTGAGATTTAATCATCCAGAATTGAACCTTTGTATTGAAAGGATTATTAATGAATTAGGTGGATTAAAAAATTATATTGGAGTTCATATAAGAACCGGTGAGAGAAAGTTTGGAGATGAAATGTTTAGGATTCAAGCAAATAATACAATTAAAACAATTCTTGACCAAGTAAATCATTACTTTTTGAATGAAAGATTTAATAACACGAAATGCCAACATCCAATAGTTTTTCTAGCAACAGATGCAAAAAATCCTAAACGGACTTTTAGAACTTTTTACTCAAAATTTAGCCCTTGCATTTTTTCGTTAACAGATTTTAAGCATCATTTGGACATTTTTAATAATATAAAGACTTATGATAATTATAAATTAAAAAAATTTTTTATGCCTTTAGTGGATTTATTGGTCGCTTCCTCTGGTGGATACTTTGTTGGTACTGACAAAAGTACTTTTTCGAAGATGGCTAAAGAAATTCATGATTTTCAGATAGCATAATTATTAAAATATCATTCAAAATTTCTTTTTACAATGGTTTAAGATAGTCTTGCATAAGAAGGAATTCATTAAGTTAGTCATCTTCATGGAGACGAGTATATTATAGTTTTAATATCTGTATTTATAATCTTTTTAATTACAATTTCAGCTATCAAATTTTAGTTGTTTAGAAGAATATTATATTCTCCCACTGTTATACTTCATCAATATAATAGAAAAAAAAAATTAATACGAAATAACGCCTATGGCATAATGGCCCGAACTAAGCTTAATTTAGGCCAAAACTCAAAATACACCCTGAACGTTATAATTTACTTCTTTCGCGAACATACAATTGTCAATTTTTTTTTTTTGTTACATTATAATGCTTTATTTCTCTGAATTTATAAATATTAATGTATTCCCAATTCAACGGTATTGAAATAAAAGAAAAAAGACTATATCATCTTAATAAGTTGTTTTTTTCCTCTAAACTCTTCTGTAGCCTTTTTGAGTATCTCCAAAAATTCGTGCGTCAATGCATCATCACTTACATCTTCCTTATCATTTACACCCCAAATATTTTCTTCACAAACGACATCTCTCAACTTATCTTGTTTAATTAATTCAATAATGTCATTCAACATTTCTATCCTTTTTGATTTAGGATTTTCATTACCCCATCTTGCCATCCAATATCCAAAAAATTTCAAATTCTGAAAAATCAATAGTGATGCTGGAATCGTTAAAGGTTGACGTGACATTGCACCATATGTTATTAATGGAGAAGAATGCCTATTTTTAAGGAAAAAAGAAATTGAGGCAGACAATTTGATAAAGATCGTAATTTTGTAAATTAAATTAATAACCTGAGAAGTTTTGCCATGGAAATTACTCCTTTGCCACAAACACAATTTAAACCTAAAGCAATCCCTTTACCCTTTATATCCTTATTCCATTCAAATTCATGATTTTTTGCTTGTAAATTTTTGTCACTTATTACATATGTTGCACCAATAGATTTCAAATAATCTTTTAACTCTTGAAAATTTGGCCTTTCAAAAAATTACCATTGCTTTAATACAAATATTAAATATAAATCATAAATATGTACAATACAAAATATTATTAACCTATCTCTAATGATATTTATCGTGTTAATATTCCACGCCTTAGCGATTTGGATTACTGCTTGACCAACTCCACTATTTGCTCCATTTTGAATTACAAAATCACCTACAAAAGGCGTTTAAATAAGTATGATGCATAAGATTCTAATAGTATAAGTAGAGATGTGAACTGTGAATTACAGTACATATAAATAAACCGTAGTTTATTTTAGAACTACAGTTTATTTATATTAACTAATAGTTTACGGATCGCACCTCTAAGTATAAGACATATAATCAAATAAACGTCAAATATCTATTATCTACATGTATATATACATATATACACCTTCTTTCAGTGCGACAAAATCTTTTAGCATACGATAAGCAGAACAAGGATTTACTGTTAAAGTAGCAGCTCTAACTATCCCAACTCCTTCATGTGGAATACGAATAACATCATCTGGTGTTGCATCAGCATGTGTTCTCCATGTTCCTGTTGATTATTAGAAACATGTGAAAAATTTAAAAGAATTTTAATATTAAAAACTCATTTTTAATTATTAAGCTTACCAAATGCAGATTTACCCATAACAACCCAATCACCAACTTTTATATCTTCAACTTTTTCTCCGACACCAATTACCTGTGCAACACCTTCATTTCCAGCAACGGCAATTTTTTCATGCTCTCCTAAAGTTTTAAAACTTGGTTGAATCGGGTAAACACCTTCAATTTGATTAATATCCGATGGATTAATTGGCGATGCGAGAAATTTTAAGTGTAATGTTGTTGGAGTTAGTGGTGGTAATTGATATGTGACTGCTCTTTTTGTGTTAATGAGAAATAAATTTTATTTATAATATAATAATAAAAAAAAACATGGTTTTGAAAAAAATTTTGGAATACCTAAGAACTTCTGTAGGAGGACCATGTTTACTAAAGGTTATGGCCCTAACTTTTGGTGATGTATATGATGTTAACCATCTTTTCTTCAATGTATTTTGTAACAGTGAAAATCGTTTGACAGTAACCAACATTTTAAGAGAGTTAACATGTGAAAATACTGATATAAATATTTTTTGATGCACCCGAATTGAAAATCGGTTCAACCCGATTCGAGTTAAAACCGGATTGGATTTTTTCTAATCCAATAATCGGATTAAAATAAAACCGGCTTTCCAATAAATATGTAATATTTATGATTGAATATATATGATTGGTAGATTATTTAGAATCTAGGAATATTCGCAATAAGACCTGGCCCAGTAGCAAGACCACTGTAAGAATCTATTGTTTTAAAGTTCTATTATAATATTAAATATAATAGATAATTATGCCATAACATATACACGATCGAATTGCCTTCTAACATTTCGTATACGTAGCATGTACCTTATAAATTTTGATACCAAATATGCATCTTACATACTTCTAATGCATCCAAGCTTTGCATACGTATAGGTCGTACATGGGATCTCATCAACGTAATTATTTTATTAAGTATTGTAAATTTATAATAAAGATTAAGAACCTACAGATTTATTTATCAATCAGAGGAATCTCAAGATGCCGCGGAGGTTGGGGTGGAGGAGCAGGAAGTTTTGAATAATATCTAAACTTGGATATATGGCAATACCGAATGCTTTATGACCAATATGATCTATATGACTACTCATAGATCATTTAGTCATTTTGTAGATATATATGATCTATGATATTATATGACCAATATGATCTATATGACCAGTCATAGATCATGCAAATATATATGATCTATGACTTTTAGTTATATAATAAAATCTCTTATGATGATAATAACGGTAATGCTAAGAGAAAACTCTAATTTAGGTTACAAGTTTTTTTAACCATAGTTTATTTACATTAATTCTAATGATAAATAATATGCATATTATGTAATAAGCCTGTGCGTATGCTCTGAATTATGTATATAATTTTTTTTATCAAGTTTATAGTATTTACATTTACTTTAATACCCTTATTAATTGGTGTGTCTATAAATATGCTAGTAATATGATACTATATTAGGTTATGAGTTATTATACGCATTGTGGCTAAGTTAAATGTTGCTAAGATGTTTAATAATGCTCAAATATATATAAATCATATGAATATTAATCGTATAATGATACAATTGTGGACTAATATAGAACACGGGAAATTTATAAGTAGAGGTCTGATCCGGTCGAAAAATAAGTATTCGAATATTCATTCGTTCAGTCTTTTTAATATCTGAATATTCATCAGCAAATTTTAAACGAATATTCATGAAATAGAGTTGTTGATTCGGAACAATAATTAATTAAGATAATATTATGAAGTTGAATAATTGAGAATTTAAATACACAAGCTAACAAATGAGTTTTATACTTAAAAGCTACATTAAAATAAATACATCGATAGAGAAAACTTCTAGCTAATAAAGATTTATCTTGCTCATCTACTTTGGGCTCATTATTATTAGCATTGCTAACCAATCAGTATATAAGATTAAGCATGACATCTGACACCAACCAATCTTGCATTAAATTGGTCGATTAGATAAATTATTTGTTGAAAAATTTTTATATTCGAATATTCTATTCAGTGAACCAATTATATATTCGGATATTCATTGAATATTCGAATATACTATTCATCGGATCAGACCTCTAGTTATAAGCTGATAGCAACAAAAAGATTAAACAATCAGTCTAAAGGAATCTTGCTTGAAGAACCTGCAACAACAATGGTTTTTACTGATACATTTCAGCATATTTGTAAAGGCAAACTATAATATGAGTCAATGCTAGGCAAAATTCAATCAGTCTGCATGATGTACTGTATACTTCTTTTCTAGATCCTTTTTTTCTAATTTCTTTTTAGGGACTAAATCGATTAATTTTTGAATATATATATATACCATGTAAATATATTCATCAATTTTTTACAAACACCATATGAGTGACGCCAAGGGAAAATGGGACATTGGTTTATCATTGATTATTATTTATTTAAATAATAACCAGTATCACATTTTTCCTTGGCGCCACTCATACGATGATACTTAAATTTTCACATAATCCAATATTTGCTCAAGAGAAATGAAAGCAATCCGATAATTATTAAAACGCTAAATGAATACAGATAATTATGAATGCATACTCTTAACGACCGAGGAGAGATTCCGCTACCTTTTTTTAGAGATATTTTTGCCTCTATACTTGTTGCATCTGCTCTGTTGCTGCTGTCGCTGTTACACTCCAATTGATTATGAAATAAAGACCCAGCTTTCGAAGTTTTTGAAACACTATGTGTCGCGGCTGATGCTGAAAATTTGACCTATTTTATTATGAAATTTTAAAACTTTTTTGGTCTTTTCGTTAGGGGTTTTTTTGCAGGGTTAGGTTAGGGTTTAGGGTTAGTGTTGTTAATGAAAAAGTATATGTGAATTTTAGTAGGTATTATAGATTTAAATGGGGACTCTAAATTTCAGCATCAGCCGTGACACTATGTAAGGATCTTTATAAGAGATAATAAAACCAACTGTGAATATTTATCAGGCTATATATCAAGCCTTATTATAATAGATATTAAATGTTTTAAGACATTTGGTTTACGAATCTCAAATGATGGGCCTAATAGTTTCGCTATTATTTCCTTAGAGTTCACATAAATTTTTTTGTTTTATTCAGTGTTATGCAATCAGAAACTGATAGATGCATAGACAGAAGTTTTTTTGATTGACCCATTTTTGCAGTTTAACGATGAAAATTTACAGATATAATAAGTTAGTTATACGGGCAATTCAGCAATTGATTTACACTAGCAAATCTTGCTGTGTTAGCCCAACGCGTCGTTGTGTATTTTTATTGGTTAATTACGCGGCGTGATAGTGTTACGGGGTGAATCGTATCCTTTACTATGGAAAATACGAAAATAGATAGTTTTAGGTGATTAGGCAACTCGCCAG